GGAGGGATTTGGAATTGGGGAATCCCTAAGGCAGGAGGAGGAATTCAGGAATGCTTGGGAAAGGCTCTGAAAATGGCTTTTCATTGGAAAAGCCTCTGGAAGCGATGGGGAGGAGGGAATTCCGCGCAGGGAGCTCGACAGGGATTCCCCGAGCAGAATCAAAAGCCTGGAGTTGTCCAAAAGGAGCCAACTCGAGGTTCCAGGACTTTGCTGCTTCTAAAATTCCAAATTTAATTGCAAACCACGATTTGATTGAATGAGACTAAAAAAGCAATATATAATGTCTGGTTTTTTTACCTTGCCTTCATTATTCTATTGCTTCATTATACCAGTGCTGCTTAACGAAAATAAAAGGAAAATCAAAGATTCTTTTGGACAATGAGCAGGTTTAAAGTACTTAAACATAGTGAAAATGACAGCGTTTAATTTCTTTGCCAGCGCTGGTGCTGTTTTTCAACAAACTCTGTAATTTTTTTTCAAAATTTAACTCCGGGCTGCTCCGGCCGGGAATTCAGGAATTGAGTAAAAAAAAACAGAAGGAAGAGTGGGATTCGGCATGAAGGAGCATCTCCTCCTTCTCTCTGCTTGTTGAGTCTCATTTTTTGGGGTTTTTTTGGGGTTTCTGTGTTGCCAAGTGCAGCACCCGGAATTGCCCCGTGCCCTGACATTCCTGATTTTTTTCCCAAGCTCCCGAAGCAGCTGCGGAGGGCCGGGATTGCCCCTGATCGGCTCAGCACAGATGGCAGCCCCGCAACCGCCGGGATTTCCACCAGGACATCCCTCCCTCCTCCTCCTTTCCTCTGAGCACCCTCCCAGCCACGAGACGATGGAATTTCACACCAGGAAAATTAAGGAATCCGGGGCAAACGTAACAAACATCCGTGTATTCTGAAAGCAGGAAAAAATTCTAGTCCTCCAATATAACTCTCACTTGCAATTTTGTCTTTCCCACAGTTAAAATAACATTTTAAGTAGGATATAGAACTGATTTATATAAAAATAAAGGTGTCTGGAGTTATTTTTCTGTCTCAAAAGGTATTAATGTATAAATACTGACAATACTGTATTCATATTCTTATATAGAAAATTTTTATACCCCAAGTGATTGGAAGTTTTATCCCACAAGTAATTTTTCTCTCCAGCCAGGCAGTTTGTACTGTCTGTGTTTATCCTGACAAATCCCCCTCTCCATCCCATGCTGGAGACACCCAGTTAAATTCCCCCCCCCTTTTTTGGAGCCTCAACTTCCCTCTAATTCCCAGCGCAAAAAAATCGGGAGCAAAAGGGATTTTGCTGCAAAAAAATTACAATTTTGATCTGCAGTCGGGAAGGAAAAGGATTTACAATAATCCGAGCGAGTCCAGCCTAATTAAAAGCCCCCGGGGATAAAAGTTGTTCCCACCAGACTGCGAGGGGATCTTCGGTTGTGGCTACAGTCTGACATCTGTGAGCATTAATTAATTAATTAATACCTGCACTCATCCTTTAATAAAGAAGGTGTGCGCTAATCCTTCCCGAAGCCGAGCTCCGAAAATCAAATTTATTAGCCAAGGGCTGGTTTAGAAACAGATGGGGTGTAAAGAGCTTGACGGAACAGGGGGAGCGTGGAGAGCGGGAGATTAATTAATTGTTAAGTAATTGAGTGACTTAATTAATTAATTGTTAAGCAATTGAGTGCGGGGAGCAAGAAATCCAGAGCTGTGGGATGCCATGGGGATGAGTTTAACATTGCTGCATTCCCAAAACTCCTTCGGGAAACCCAGGAGTGACAAGGGACCTTGACATGTCACCTGTCCCTGGCTCTGTTCCTGCCCCGGTGCCCTCACACAGTTCCACCAGAATGACAAAAATCTGTTCCTGGGCTGCGGGGAGAGCACAGAGAAATTATTCCTGCCGTGATTGCATCAAACACTCCGCCTGAAGTTTGTGTCCTACAAGGAGAATTAACGGGTGGCTGGGGGAGCTGTTAGACCTTGGCTCTGTCTTTGTAAGGCTCCCGTGAATATTTAACCCGGGGAGAGCACAGAGAAATTATTCCTGCTGTGTTTGTATCAAAACTCCGCCTGAAGTTTGTGCCCTACAAGGAGAATTAACGGGTGGCTGGGGGAGCTGTTAGACCTTGGCTCTGTCTTTGTAAGGCTCCCGTGAATATTTAACGAGTTAATCTTTTGTCAGGCTTAAACCCTGCGCCGATGTTCGCCGGCAGGCACGGCTTAGCACTGAAAGGGATTTTTGTTGGCTTTTGGTGTGGTTATCACTGAAAGGGTTTGGGTTTTGTTGGCCTTGAAATCCTCACCTTGTGAGAACTGAAAGCAGGAACAGGTAAATAAAGGAAAAGAGGATCCTGGTGTTAATGGATAAGCTGGGCAGGGAATGGGGGACAGGCAGGCAGCTCTCCACATCGGCAGGACACAAATCCCGGGTCAAACTGGGAACCTCAGTGAAACCTGACACGAATCCAAAGGAGCTGTGCAAGAAGCCAAAACATTCAATCACCCAAATGAACTGTGTAAGAACCCAAAATATTGATGGACACAAAGGAGCTGTGTGAGGACCCAAAACATTCAATCACCCAAAGGAGCTGTGTGAGAACCCAAAATACTGAAGCACCCAAAGGATCTGAGAACCCCAAATATTGATGGATCCAAAGGATCTGAGTGAGAACCCAAAATATTTAATCACCCAAAGGAGCTGTGTAAGAACCCAAAACATTGACAAACCCAAAGGATCTGTGCAAGAACCCAAAATATTTAATCACCTGAAAGAGCTGTGTGAGAACCCAAAATATTCAATCACCCAAAGGAGCTGTGCAAGAACCTAAAATATTCAATCACTCAAAGGAGTTCTGCAAGAACATTCATCACCCAAATGAGCTGTGTAAGACCCCAAATATTTAATTGCCCAAACATTCATCACCCAAAGGAGCTGTGTAAGACCCCAAATATTTAATTGCCCACAGGATTTGTGTAAGAACCCCAAACATTTCATCACCCAGAGGAGCTGTTTAAGCTGCAGGGGGCCTGAGCGGGCTCTGCCACAGGGAGCTCCAGAGGGACCCTCCTGTCCCAGCACATCCAGAGCCAAGCTGAGCTCAAGGGGCTTCAAGGGCTTCTCAAGGGTGCAGCTGAACACAGGATTCATGGAATTGTGGAATATCTGAGTTGGAAGGGACCCACAGGGTCACAGTGCAGCTCCTGCCCTGCACAGACACCCCAGCAGTCCCCCCGTGCCTGGGAGCAATGTCCATGAACGTCACCATCTGCCTTCAGGTGTTGTGTCCTTCACCCACAGCCAGTTCCACACAATTCCCACCACTGCCCTGAACTTTGCTTTGCTGTTCATTCCCAGAGCACAATCCAGGGTGAGCTGTGTCCTCCCAGCAGGGCCCTGCCCATGGAGACAGGCAGAGCTTTGGGCTGGGCTCTCACAGCTGGGAGTGTCCTGAGCTGGGACTTGTGTGACACCTGGGGACACAGGGAGGAGCTGGAGCTGCTGCAGAGAGTAATGCCCCCTCTGACCCAAATCCTTCTGGAATTCTCTGACATGTCCAACCTTCAGGCCAGGGTTAAGAAGCCTTCAGCAAAGGCGAGGATGAATAAACCAGAATAACCTCTCTCCAAAGGTTACCGAGTTGTGTCGTCAAACCCCATAAGAGATAGGGGAAATAATTGCCTCAGGATGGTTCCACCTGCAAGACTCCATTGGCAGGTGCTGAGTTCCTGCTCCTAAATCCTCATGAGCCTCTGTTCCTAAATCTTCCAGGAACGTTCCTTCATGGCACTACTGCCTCCATTCTTCTGTCCCATTCGCGATGCTCCTCCGGGCGAGCATCAAAGAGCTGCAGGATCGTTCATTGATTTGGCTGCTTGTGTTTTATCGGGGCAGAGTGTTTCACCTGCTGCAGTGATTTATTCTGTAGGATTTTTCTGCTCCTTTCTGCTGCATCTTCCCCCTTCACACCCACTCCAAACCCCTGCGTTCTATCCCTGCTCCCAATATTAAAAGTGGGTTTATATACACAAATATTAAACTGTTTAACTGTTGGGTTTTTTAAATTATGATGTCTCACTCCGTCAGCCAACTCTGCCTCCACTGTTCGGTCTGCACCTAGAAAATCAGGATTCTTTTCCTTATCCGAAAGAAAAGTTATGACTTTTGCAGCAGCTGCCGGCTCTGCCCAGGACACGGCGTTTCTCACCTAATTTAAATGCAAACTCTCCGAGGATCCTCGCACTCGAATAAAAACCGCTTAAAAGCGTGCAAATCCAGGTGTTTATTTATTTACACAGAGGGTTGTGTTGTTCCCTTTTACAACATTCGCGAGCTGACAAGGACACATTTCCCTTCTTAACAGCCTTTGGAGCAGCCCGAAGCGGTTCACCCGTGTTTTTAACAAACCGTGCGGGGACCACGGGGGCCGTGCCAGGTCGGTGCATCAGCAGTGGATGCTCAGAGGATGCCTTCCTACACCTGATTTGGGAAATGGGGCCGGCAGAGCCTCAGCCGCAGCTGTGTGCCCGGCTGGGGACAGCAGTGCCAGGGGCACCGCGGCGGGGCTGGGAGCGGCCGCCGAGGGGCAAAGCAGGGCACGAAGGGGGCTCGGGGTGCGAGGGGAGCCCCGGGCGGGAGGGGACACACGCACACACACAAAGAGGAGATTTTTGGCCACTCTGCAAAGGCTCCGGTGTTTGCGGGGAGGGGATGGCCGGGGGCAGCGCTCGGTGAGCTGTGGTCCCGCTGCACAGCGGGGCTGGGCAGGAGCTGTGCCCGGAGTGATGGGATGGGGCAGGGGCTGTGGGATGGGGCAGGGGCAGTGCCCGGAGCAGGGTAGGGGCTGTTCCTGAAGCGAGGTAGGGGCAGTGCCCGGAGCAGGACAGCGGCTGTGCCCGGGCAGGAGCGGTGGGACGGGCAGGAGCTGTGCCCGGAGCAGGGCAGGGGCAGTGCCCGGGCAGGGGCAGGCGGAGGGAGGAGCGCAGCCCCGGCCCCGCCGCCCCGGGCCCCGCGCAGGCACCGCCCCCGTTCCCCGGCCGTGCTCCGGCTCCGCTGCTCCGGCTCGTCCCTCGCGTCCCGGCGGTCCCGGCATGGCGGAGAGCCCGGGGCGGCCCCCGGAGAGCAGCGGTGTCCCGCGGCAGGGAGGCGAGGGCTCGGCGGCGGCCGGGGCTCGGGCCGGGCTGTGCCCCGAGGGCGCGGCCGAGCCCCCGGACGGGCCCGCGGAGCGGCCGCGGCGGAGCGCGGAGGCGGCGCCGGAGCCGCCCGGGGACAGCGGCTCCCCCGAGAGCCCGGGGACACCGAGCGAGGAGCAGCGGGAGCCCGGGGACGGCCCGGGGCACCAGGGGCAGCCGGGGGTGATGGACGGGCCCGAGGGCTCCGCGGCGGCCAGGGCCGAGCCTGAGGGAGAGGCGGTGACGGAGCCTGAAGGGGCAGCCGCGGGGGCGATGGAGCCCGGGGACACGGCTGAGAGCCCGGCGGGGATGGAGCCCGGGGACACGGCCGCGGTTCCGACGGGGATGGCGCAGGAAGAGGCAGCTCCGGCAGCCACAGAGCCCGAGGACGGCGCCGCGGCCCCGGCAGGGACGGAGCCCGAGGGCGCAGGGGCTGCTCCGACGGGGACGGAGCCCGAAAAAGCAGCTCCGGCCGGGACGGAGCCTGAGGGAGAGGCGGTGGCACCGGCAGGGACGGAGCCCCAGGTGAGAGAGGCGGTGAGGGAGGAAGGCCCGGCGGAGAGAGAGCCCCAGGAGCCGGCCACGACTGTCCCGGCAGAAGCAGAGCCTGAGGAGGCTGCGGCGACTGCCCCGGTGGGGACGGAGCCCGGGGAAGCACAGGCGACAGTCCCGGTGGGGACAGAGCCCGGGGAAGCAGAGGCGACAATCCCGGTGGGGACAGAGCCCGGGGAAGCAGAGGCGACAATCCCGGCGGGGACAGAGCCCGGAGAAGAACAGGCGACAGTCCCGGTGGGGACAGAGCCCGGGGAAGCAGAGGCGACAGCACCATCGAGGACAGAGCCCGGAGTGGCGCTAGGACAGGCGGGGACAGAGGGAGCAGAGCCCGAGGAGGCTGTCGCGACAGCCCCGATCGGGACAGATCCCGAGGAAGCTCTGAGGGAGGAAGCCCCGCCGGGGACAGTCCCTGAAGATGAGGTGCAAGAGGCAGCCCCGACGGGGACAGAGCCCGAGGGGGCCGCAGTGACAGCTCCAGCGGGGACAGCCCCCGAGGATGCGGTGCAGGAGCCAGCCCCGGCTGATGTGGCAGTCCCTGAGGAGAGGGTGGCCCCGGTGGGGACAGACCCCGAGGATGAGGTGCAGGAGCCAGCCCCGGTTGCTGTGACAGTCCCCGAAGAGGCGCTGGGGACAGTCCCTAAGGATGAGCTGCAGGAAGCAGTTCCGGCTGGGACAGTTCCCGAGGAGGGGGCGGCCCCGCTGGGGACAGACCCCAAGGATGCGGTGCAGGAGGAGGCGCCGGCGGGGACCGTCCCTAAGGATGAGGTGCAGGAGGCAGCCCCGGATGATGTGACAGTCCCTGAGGTTGCGGCGCAGGAGGCGGTCCCGGCAGGGACAATCCCCAAGGATGCGGCGCAGGAGGGAGCTCCAGCAGGGACAGTCCCCGAGGAGGTGCTGGGGACAGTCCCTGAGGATGCGGCCCCGGCTGGGACAATCCCCGAGGATGCGGTGCAGGAGGCAGCCCCAGATGATGTGACAGTCCCCAAGGATGCGGTACAGAAGGCAGCCCCGGGTGATGTGACAGTCCCCGAGGATGGGATGCAGGAGGCAGCCCCGGATGAGGTGACAATCCCCGAGGACGAGGGACAGAAGACAGCCCCGGATGGTGTGACAGTCCCTGAAGCTGCGGTGCAGGAGGCAGCCCCGGATGAGGTGACAATCCCCGAGGACGAGGGACAGAAGACAGCCCCGGATGGTGTGACAGTCCCTGAAGCTGCGGTGCAGGAGGCAGCCCCGGATGAGGTGACAATCCCCGAGGACGAGGGACAGAAGACAGCCCCGGATGGTGTGACAGTCCCTGAAGCTGCGGTGCAGGAGGCAGCCCCGGATGAGGTGACAATCCCCGAGGACGAGGGACAGAAGACAGCCCCGGATGGTGTGACAGTCCCTGAAGATGCGGTGCAGGAGGCAGCCCCGGATGAGGTGACAATCCCCAAGGATGCGGTGCAGGAGGCAGCCCCGGATGAGGTGACAATCCCCGAGGACGAGGTACAGAAGACAGCCCCGGATGGTGTGACAGTCCCCCCGGCAGGGACAGTCCCTGCGGAGCCTGCCGAGCTCCGCGGAGCAGCTCAGGTGCCCTTGCCCTCCCAGGGGCTCCCGGCTGGCGGTCCCCGGTCCCCGGGCGGCCCCGGTGGCGAGGCGGAGGCGGAGCGGGGACCGCCAGCCCCGGCGGGGACAGCAGCCCCGGGGCCCGAGAGCGGCTGGGATCGGAGCCTGAACGGGGAGCGGCACCGGGAGCGGCACCGGGAGGACGGGACGGGCTCGCCGGGCGCCCCGGAGGAGGAGGAGGAGAAGCAGGACCACGACATCTCCCTCTTCGTTAAGGTAGGGATGAGGGGCTGCGGGGAATCTCCGCTGGGAATTTCCCCTTCCAGGACCCTGTGGGGAGGAATTTAAACGTGGCAGATGAAGGGCCAGCCTGGCCAAGGTGGTTTTAGTTATTAACGCCCAGGAATCGCTGGCGTGAGGAGCTCTCAGTGGATTTGCAGATCTCCAAAGTTCAGGGAGAAGGGCTCTCATCATCGGGGCTGAGAGGGAAGACCCTGGGAAATGTCATTTCAATGTGATGTGGGATTTTTCTAACACCAGTTATGGGTGATGTTTAGAGAATTGTCCCAGATTTTAGCAAGGCTGAATTCACAGTCGGTAAAGAGCATCCCTTGGAATTGTCCAGTTCGTGTTTGTTTGAAGGGAAGGTTTGGGTTACAGGGAAATTGGAAAAAAAAAAAAAGAAAAAAGAGGGAAAAACTAAAACCAATTTCTGATATTTTATTGAGTAGAGCTTTAGACCTTTCTATCCTGTGCCTGGAATCCCACCAAAATCCCTGGAGTTTGGCATGGGAACAGCAGCCATCCACGGAGTCTTTATAGATGGGGATTTTTGGTGTGTAGGAAGCATCTGGAGGTGATTTCTTCCCTCTTCTCTGACCCCTCTGGACTAAAATGTGGAGCAGGGTGAGATAAACATAAAGCTAAAGAAATAAACCTGGGGAAGCAGAAGGCATTTGGGACCTTCTCCTCCACAAACCATCCCATCCTGTACCTCCTGAGCTGGCTGAGGCTGCTTCAGCCAGCCAGAATTCACACTAAAACAAATTAAAATTAAAATTAAAATTAAAACTAAAATTAAAACTTGGTGCCTTCCACCTTATGGGAGGAAAACATGGCCAAAATGAGAGAGCAGCCTAGAGAACAAGAGCATTTGTTGTGACTCTGTGGTCCCCAAATATTAGGATTAAAGTTGGGCTTTGAAAATCTTTGTGAATTCATAAAGGCAGAAGGAGAAGGGAGGAGAATTTTGTGATGGGCTTAATGTTGGTAATTTAAGAATGCCTAGAAAGCAATCCAGCTGCTTTTCTAATTATTTCTGTGTTACAAAGCTTGAGTGTTTTACCTCACCCGGAGCTGGATTTTTGTAGTTGGGGTTAGGTTAGTTTTAGTCAGAGGTTGGCATGAGTTTCTCCAGGAAAAGGGGAAAAAAAATCCAACTGGAGAGTTCAGTGTGTCCCCAGGTACCAAAATGGCCATGCCATGGTTTGATAGCACAATAGAAATACAGAGAAATGTAAAAATAAATCCCAAAATGGGAGAAAATGCACAAGAAAACAGCACAGGAACAGAGCTGGAATAATCCTGGCAGTTCCCCTGCCAGGGCAGATTTTCCCAGGCCAGGCCCACATTAAAATGCAGTGAAAATGTTCTGAGAAACATCAGCCTCAGGAAAACCCCCTGGAAGAACAGAACACCACAATTCCCAGGAGCCTTTCACTGGGTGCTACCTGATTTCCATTTGCCCATGGAACAATGTAATTTATTTCCTTTAGATAACAATTCCCTTTATCCCAGGTGTTCCAAAGGCAAATGTTCCCCAAGGTCACCCAGATATCCTTTCCTTGGGAATTCAGTGTCCCTGGTACCTTGTGCTCTCTGCTCTTCAAGGGCTTTTTCCTTCTGTAGCAAAAGCTCTTTATTGATCAGAAAACTTCTGTAAATGTCAGATTTTTTTTTTTTACCATTTAAATATACTTGAACTCCCACTAAAATTCACTCCATTGATTTTTAAGCAATAGAACATTTATTTAAGACTTAAGAGCTTATTTCTAAATTGAAATTGCTATCTCATTATTTATAGACGGAAAACTCAACAGAATCACAGCTGCAGATTTCTGAATTCCAAAGATTCCTAAGGATTTCTCTGTACCACAAACACTTGGCCAAACAACCCATCTGGAGCACAAGGCCTTGCTCATCTCCCTCAGTTTCAGGGTTAAATGGATTTTAGTCAAAGCTGGCCATGAGCATAAGGTAATAGATTTTATCCAAGGAAAAGCAGGGGGATTTATCCACTTTGGTGACATTCTTGGTCTCTAAATCTTTTCTCTCCATTCAGAGGATGATTTCATTCCCATCAGAGACAGAGCTTATTTGGCTGCAGCAGAATTTCCCTGAGATACACTTGAGTGACTTTGCACAGAGCAGGGCAGAGTTACAGGAAGGGCTGGAAAATGAGAAAGGAGAAGCTTTGCTGGGAGTACGGGAAAGGGAATAACTGCATCCCTGCCTGCAGGGTCAGTGTGCCCAGCTGGAATGGAAATGGGGGTTTCCTACAAAAAAAAAAAAATTTCTCTCATGTGATGAACCTGGGCCTTAAATAGAACTGAGATTATGAAGTAGCAACTGAATTTTGGGTGCTGTAGGTAAGGAATCCGTGGGCAGCAGGAGCTCAGCTCCCTGAACACCTGGATGCCTTTTCAGTGGAGTCTGGGCTGCACCTGGTGCTTGGAGTAAACATTGGAATTGTCACCACTGAGGAGGTGCTGGTGCTGAAAATCTTGATTTTTCCTCCTCAGTCAGGGTGTAACTGGCTGAGGTGAGCGTGGTTCACAGCCAGTAAATGTTGTGCTGTGTCCATATCCAGGTGGGCAGCTCTTTATGGGCCCTTCTTAGTGCAGATTCACCGCAGGAGCTCAGTATTTCAGTGATCTCAATAAGGGAAATGAAAGATTCCTGTGTGCAGAACCCTTGTCTGCAGCAGAATTTCCCTGCCCCGCTCCTGAGATACCCTTGAGTGACTTTACACTTCTGTAACTTGTGCAGAGTTACAGAAAGGGCTGGAAAATGAGAAAGGAGAAGCTTTGCTGGGAGTACGGGAAAGGGAATAACTGCATCCCTGCCTGCAGGGTCAGTGTGCCCAGCTGGAATGGCAATGGGGGTTCTGTTCCCATTTGTTCCACCAGTTTCACACACTGCCTTCTGCTGCCTTCTCCTCACTCCCTCTTTTTATCCTTCCTGAGCTCCACTCCTTGGAGCTTGTCTCAGGTGCCACATCACTGCCACTTGAAAAAAAGTTAATTCTTAGCTTTAAAAACCCTGCCATTTAAAGTCCTGGGGGTTTTTTTGGGTTTTTTTTGGGTTTTTTTTTTTGTAAGTTGCTTCCCTCCATCATTCATTTGGATATTTTAATTTGCATTTTAAGTGAGACTTTTGCTTTTTTAATCGAGGAGTTATGAAAGCTTTGGGCTGGGGACAAGGTGGGCATGGGGCACAGCTGGGACTCCGTGGGCTGGGAGGGCTTTTCCTGTTGTATTTGGGTTTCCCCCAGACGAAGGGAGGAATGATGAATCTGACTCCATGTTCTCAGAAGGCTAATTTATTATTTATGATACTATATTATATTAAAGAATACTAAAGTAAAGAATACAAAAAGGATACTTACAGAATGCTAAAAAGATAATAATGAAAACTTGTGACTCTCTCCAGAGTCCTGGCACAGCTTGCACTGGTTGGCCAGTGAGTCAAAATAATTTACAACAGAACCAAATGAAACAATCTCCAAACACATTCCAAAGGAGTAAAACACAGGAGAAGCAAATCAGATAAAATTGTTTTCCTTTTTCTCAGGGGCTTCTCAGCTTCCCAGGAGAAAAAATCCTGGGCGAAGGGATTTTTCCAGAAAATGTGAATGCCACATTTTCCAGCCTAGGGATGTTGGGATTCTGTGAGAGTTATCCCAGAAGAAAGAAAACCGAATCCTGGAGCAGGCCAGGAGCAGGCGCGAGGCTGGAGGTGGCCAGAGCGGCTCCAGGCAGGGCTGCTGAGGCCTGAGCCCTGTGGGGCTGCCCAGCAGGAGCAGCAGAGCCCCAGAGCTGCTGCTGCAGGGCTGGCTGCGCTGCTTTGGGCTCTTGGGCTGCACAAAAAGCACCAGAGCAGCGTTTCCCCCAAGCCAGAGCAGGAAGCTGGCTCCCTTCCCGTGGGTATTTGCCCTCTCACAGCTCCCTTTGAATGTTTTTTTCAGCTGGAACATGGCAATTGCAGGTTCCCTAAAGCAGCTTAGAGGATCTGGCATTACAAATTCCGTTCATAACTCGCCGGGTTGTTGCTGGGTGTGCTGGGGGCTCCATGAGCAGCAGCTTCTCTGGGGCTGGGAATGAGAAGGGCTGCAAGGTCCCTCCCAGCCCAAACCTTTCTGTGGTTCTGTGATTCCAGGAATGGCTGAGGGAGCTGGGAAGGGGCTCAGCGTGGAGAAAAGGAGGCTCAGGAGGGACCTTCTACAATTCCCTGACAGGAGGCAGTGAGGTGGCCTGTGATTCCAGGAATGGCTGAGGGAGGTGGGAAGGGGCTCAGCGTGGAGAAAAGGAGGCTCAGGAGGGACCTTCTACAATTCCCTGACAGGAGGCAGTGAGGTGGGGTCGGGCTCTGCTGCCGTGTCCCAAGAGGAAATGGCCCTAAATTGCACCAGGGGAGGCTCACAATGGAGATTAGAACAAGATTTTTCCCTCTGGAAGTGGTCAGGCCTTGGGCTGAGCTGCCCAGGGAGGTTTGGAGTCACTAGAATTGTCCCAGAGGAGTCTGGATGTGGCCTTGGGGACAGGGTTTGGGGTGATGCTGGTGGGGCTGGGATGGCACTGGGTGATCCTGAAGGGCTCTTCCCACTTTGATGATTCTGGGATTTGGACAACTGACAGACCAACATCCTTTTCCAGACTGACATAAACCACAGATAGAAATGAGTGATCAGAAATATGAAGTTGCATCTAAAGTATTTTTGTATGTTTTAGTCAGAATCCCAGACTGGTTTGGGTTGGAAAGGGCCTCAAAGCCCACCCAGTGCCACCCCTGCCCTGGACAGGGACACCTTCCACTGTGCCAGGCTGCTCCAAGCCCTGTCCAGCCTGGCCCTGGACACTTACAGGGATAAGGGAACCACAACTTCTTTGGGTAAATATTTCCTGGCATCATCCTCTGCCCATGCTTTGGAAATGTTAAATAATCTGTGTGTCCCCAGGATGGTTCAGGCCTCAGGCCCCTGCTCATCCCTAGGGCCC